TCACAAAGGTAAAATTGCTCGATTTTTCGCAAGAACTTTCACTAACATATAAAACAAAATTATGTTTTTTTTACTCTTGACGAATCCAGCACTCGCTCATTTATCACTGCGTAATAAGATTTATCTATGTGCTGATTTTTCTTGATGTTGAACATCATTGTGCTTAACATTTCATGCTGAAAATTCACTAATCTGAGTCGCGTACTATGCTGCATGGAATAGAATTTTGTCAAAATTCTACTGTGATTTTTGAATTCTAAGTAGATTTTTGCTTGATGTGAAGCGGGCTCCTAGACAATGATCAGAACTCTATTTGTTTGCGCAGATTTCTATAACTGAGCCTATTCACTCTTTGGCGACTACCTATTTTTGAATTCAGAATTCTCTATTCTACAACCCTACATTTGCTGATGTAAATATCGCCTTCACTTACACACAAAGACTCTTATAGTAGGTTTTTTCACCAATAAGTCTTTACATATTGAAATATTTGCTCTTCTAAAAAAACCTATAGGCTTGTGGAAGAGAAGTCAAATAATTACTGATAAATAACGTCACTAACAATGATGAAGAATCAACAAAGAAATCAAGCGAAATAATGAGAGCTGCTAACACTAATTGCACCGAGATAAAATTTGACTATAAACTTATAGGTAACCCTTCTCCGTTCGGATAAACGATCACCCTTAGTATACGACCATGTTTGAATAAAAGTTCATCGGCTCTATTAGAAGGCCATGCAATAATTAATTAATTAATTAATTACAAAAACGTAGGAGTGGGAAGAAAGGTGCCTGTAAATTTCTACCCTTATAAGCTTCAACACTCGTTTTAGATCATGTTTTACAAAAACGGCAATTTCACAAAGGAAGAATAAGTTAGAGAAGAAGAAAGAAAATAACTTAGACGACTTCAAACGAGAAATGGAAATTGTAAGTAAAAACATCGAGCCAATTTTTGCTGTGCTATGCAAATAATATCTTATTTAATTTTTTTTACTGATTATCTTCAAAACATCTCTTTCAGGTATGTATTTATAATAAAACTGAAGTGTAAAATGATTTTTATTGTGAATTTAGGATGAGCATAAACTACATCTTATTGATCTTTATCAACGTTATAATACTGATCCAGAAAAAGTGAGTATGACAAATCATTAGTTCGATGCGAAATGTTTATCAACCTATAGGGTTTATCAGATGCCGAAGCTCTGGAAGTGCTTAATCGTGATGGTCCCAATGCATTGTCACCGCCGAAGAAAAAATCAGACTGGGTAAAATTTTGTATACAAATGTTTGGTGGCTTTGGAATTCTGCTTTGGATTAGTGCTATTCTGTGTTTTATTGCACATGGTTTTACCGTTGTTCGATATTATAAAGATGCATCGAACGATAACGTGTGTACAGTCAATCCTTTTCTTTTCATAGATACATGTTAAAAAAATTTCAGTTATGGCTTGGCATATTGTTGACTGTCGTAGTCATTGCTGCTGGCTATTTTTCATACTTTCAAGAAGCAAAAAGTTCACGAATCATGGATTCGTTCAAAACCATGTAAGTAGATTTGTTTGAAATAATCCTTTTCATTGGTGTTCTGTTGTGATATAGGGTTTCTCAAGTAAGCATATACCGGGTGGGTCAAAAGTAAGGAAAAATAGTATTTTTTTCCATTTCTATCTTATAGATCGTCGGTTAGGTCTCATATTTATACCAC